GATCCGCCTGCCTCAGCCTCCCAGAGTGCTAGGATCACAGGCGTGAACCACCACACCCAGCCCCTATGTAGGTCTTGACCTAAAAGTCCCCAGTGGTACAACAAGCAGGTTCCAGACTCAACTGCTAATTCTACTCAGTCTTTATTTATTGAATAATGATAAGCATAATATGTATATCCTACCTAAATGATTCTTAACCTTTATTCAGCCCCAACACAACTAAGAGTTATGATATACCCCCATGAGTGAAAGTGGCTTGCTAACACAGTGATTGTTTGCTGGTAGAATAGAGGTATACATTTAAAAGAACTTGCTAAATAAGTCTTCTTCCAGTTCCCTACTCTGCCCAATTCCAACTTGAAAATCACTGCCTGAGAACTTCTCTTGTCTACCCAAAGATCTTTTAGATTGAAAAACTGGTCTGTAACTGGCCCCTCTTGTAGAGGTAGCAAAGTTTGTTTGTTTTTTGAGGGCTGCTCTTGGATATGAGTATCTAGGCTATGAGGGGACCAATAGAGCTCACATATTGTGCTGTACCCTAGCACTCTCACCAGGGTGAATGACAACATGCTGTGGTAGCATTCAAAGTACACCGATGTTCTTCTCTTCTCCCTAGCCCTGAGATTACTCTGAACCCTGTCTTAGCAACTAACTCCCAATCCTCTGAGTGATAATTAGGGGTAGGAGTGTTGATTAAGAATCACAACCAGGCCGGGCATGATGGGTCACGCCTATAATCCTAGCACTTTGGGAGGCCAGGGCAGGAGGACTTCTTGAGGCCAGGAGTTTGAGACCAGTCTGGGCAATATAGCAAGACCCCATCTCTACAAAAAAAACTTAAAAATTAGCCGGGTGTGGTGGTATGTACCTATAGTCCCAGCTACTCAGGAGGCTGAGGTGGGACGGTCTCTTGAGCCCAGGAGTTTTGAGTTTGCAGTGAACTGCAATGATGCCACCATACTCCAGAGCCTAGGCAACAGAGCAAGACCCTGTGTCTCAAAAAAAAAAAGTCATCACCACCAATATTTTCACTATCCTATTGCGATAATGAAACCAAATTTCAAAACAATCTTTCTTGAATTCCTCATCTTCAAATACTAGACTTTATAGTCTCTGAAATGCCTATAAATGACCTATCAAGAGACCCAGAGACAGCATTTAGGTGTGTGTAACCTACAATATAAATCAACCACAGAATTATTATACTAAGAGTGGGGTTTTAAATACAGTATTGGAAGGATTAGCCACATTTAAGATCACATATACACAGATAGTTGAAATATTATCCAGAGCATAAACAATGTTAATGTTCATATCTGAGTGTAACTATATCTAAAATTATATCCTTTCTCCCCCCACCAACTCCTTTCTGCCCCCTTCAGCGATCAATGCTATGATTGACCCAGATGGAACTTTGGAGGCTCTGAACAACATGGGATTTCCCAGTGCTATCTTGCCTTCTCCGCCAAAACAGAAGTCCAGTCCTGTGAATAACCACAGCAGCCCGGGTCAGACACCGACACTTTGCCAACCAGAAGCTAGGGTTCTTCATCCTGCTGCTATCTCAGTCTCAGCTGAATTTGAGAATGCTGAATCTGAGGCCGATTTCAGTATACATTTTAATAGATTCAACCCTGATGGGGAAGAGGAAGATGTTACAGTACATGAATGACTTTCTCTTGATTGTTAAAAAATAATTACCTGTGGAATGACTAGGAATATTGGAAGCAGCACAGTGTTGACTTATACAAAACAAGACAACTTGGTCAACTACAGTTTTGTTATCCCTGTTGTCTTAATTTTATTTATTTATTTTTTTACCTATAATGTAGTGTCGTATCAGTCCTTTCGCACCGTTTAGATAACCACTTGATACATACATAGGAAAAAATAGATTGTGGCAGTTTTGCCTTTCATGGTTTTATGATTTTCAAGCTGAATTTTATCATTGCATCCTTTCCCTTCATAGATCTTTGTTTTTTTTTTTTAAGCCATGCTGTGACCTACAAGCAAACTAAATACCCAACATTTCTGAACCCCCATGTCTCCTGTGCCAAGCTGTTCCCTGAAATGGACTTCCTCTTCATCTGTACAGATTTGTTAAACCATTCTATTGGCTTCTTAATAATAGGATTTATATTAGTACTCATTACCGCTGGACACAATGACATAGTGCTCTCCACAGTAAGGCAGAACTTCACAGTAGTCATTCTGTGTCCTAAAATTTTCCAACATAGATGTGATTTATATAACTTCGTTGCTACGTAAATTGTCTTGGGATTTATGGAAATTAACTATTATGTTTGCACTAAGATTTGCTGGGAGTGGTAGGTGGACATATCTATATACCAATAAGGACTAACTGTCTTTTTTGTACATAGGAGACTGATAATACTGTATTTGTTTTACTCCACTTTCAAAAAGATCAATTTGGCACTTTTTTCCCAAGTTTTTTTAATGGAAATAAGATTTTGTCGCTCATTTTAGGTTAAATGATAACTAGAAAGATCAAGCTAGACAGATAGTTTAGGTGGAGTATATTTTTAAAACTAAGAACATGTATATTGATCCTGTGTTACCAAGTTTATACGTGAGAGTTGAAAAAAAATTTTCCCTTGAAAGGATCATGAGGTTAAAATTTTCTTCGTTAGGAAACTTGGAGAACCAGTAGTCGTAAGATTAGTTGATAGTTTCACTCCCAAGCAATGAATTGCGAATTGCTTCTGTGTGTTTCCCTGTAGGACCCAATAGTAAATCCTGTTTCAGTCTTAGACGTTTATAAGGACCCTGCAACACGACAACGAAGGCCTTGGGCCTGTGCTACTAAACAGGAAGCCTATGAAAAATACCTTCTTTAAACTTGTTTTTTCTCTTTCCAGTAAGTTCACATTTGGATGAGTTTAAAAAGAAAGTAATTATCTTCGTGTTTCCAGAACACTATAATTTGGGTGTATCTTAATTCAATTAAATAATATTAATAGACCTGGGTTTTTCACTTGCCCCCTTCAGTCTATAATGGTTAAACTGCAACTTTTCCAATTTTTACGAAATGGTCTTTAATATTTCAGCAATATCTTCTGCTACATTTATTTTAAGAAACAAAGTAACTCTACACTTCAAAACTTTTCAGGATTTTTAAAATCCTGTACTGTTGAACCAGTTAATAAAGATGCAAAAAAAATTTTGTAGAGATATAAAAACAAAGTCTGTTGTATAATGGATCTCATATTTTTCTTTAAATTAAAAAAAAGGTAAACAAACTATTCTCCTTGTAAAGCTAAATTCCCCATTCTATCTAATAAAGGAAGAAAAAAAGGTTTAAAAGAACATAAATGGAAAGACATAAATGCTCTGAAGGAATAAATGAAACATTAAAACAGGGTCAATCCATTTGAAGAAAAAGTTGAAGAAAATAATCACCATTGTTCCCTCTTTTATTTAATATTTGGGTACTGATTATACCCACATGGACGTAGAAGGTAAGGAGTTTAGGAAAATATTAGAATCTACTCTACTTACATTATTGTTTAAGTGTTTACACAATTTTTGTTCAATTATAAACATTTGGCCTTTACTATGTTATTTTTATTTTGTATGAATACATTATTCTCCTTATTTATTTTTGTTACATTTATTACTTATGTTATTTTGTTATGCATTTACAATTCCATTTTTAAATAAAGTGTTTCTGGAACTTTATGCAATGATTGTATATTTTATTTCTTCTACCATCTGGCATGCTAATATTTCATCAACTTACCAAATAATTATTTATAAACCATTTTCCAAGGCTTAGCAAAAACAAAGAGTCCTCCAATTCTAATTAATATGTGATCATTGTGATACCTCATTATTTTGATCATCTAAAGAAAAAATAGCAAATTATGCTAAATATAATTCACTTAGTTTAATATTCTTAATTAATGTGTACAAACAAGGTCTTTATTTTTAGCAGGCCTTGGATCATGAGAAAGCTTTATGACAATAATGTATTTTGGGAACAAAGTAGAAATTTAAAATATGTTTGATATCTTAAATTTGAGAACTATTGATTTGTACTCATTTTTTTCATCGTATCATTCAAGCTCAAGAATCTTGAATGTCTCCCAATTACTATTGAGCATTCCAAGTTTCACAACTTGACCTTTGGAGAGCTTCCAGAATCTGGCCCTTTTCTCACGTATCCATGTACCCCAGTGCAGTCTCTACCGCCATTTACGCGTGTCTGGGCCATCGTGAGCTTTTCATCCCTCGCTGTGCTGCGTCTTCCTCCCCTTCCCGCTTGTCCACAGCCCTTCCGTTCTTCAAGGTCCCACTGACCTCTGCACAGTTTCCCTCACTTGACTGCACCACAGCAAGGGGCTGTGCCACAAATTTGCATTTCCTCTTCCCTTTCCCCACAACATACACACTTTTCTTCCCTTCTTGTCACTAAAACAACCTTCATTTCCTGGATAGACCCTGTGTTTTCAAACATCTGTGCCATTCTGCTTCCTTTATCTGTCCTTGGATTTTCTTCCTATATATCTGGTTGACAGGGTTCTAACATTTGGAAAGAAAACTATACCTGAAAAGTTGAGATCCAGACCCACACCCTATTAGCTATTAATATGTTCCTCCATCTTCTGATTTGCAAAATTAGGGCATCATTCTTAGCATCCAAATCCCAGTCCAAGTGGCCTATGACTATATGGAATGGTTCTTCTTCAAAAAGAGTGCTGCGATTCTTTGTCATATAAAATCTTCCTCTCATTGTGTTCTCATAACCCCTTCTACCCAGTTATAGCCCAGATCAGATCTATTCAGCGAAGGTGTACCAAGTGCCTAATGTGTATCAGGCGTTATTCTAGGCACTTGGGTTCTTGGCAGTGAACAGAAACAAACTATTGCCCTCACAGACCTTAGATTCTAAAGTAGGGAGACAATAATAATAAAATAATAATAATAAAAAATAATAAAAGAGGGAGACAATAAAAACTAAAAATTAAGTAAATAGATGACAGCAGAAGGAGAGGTCACATTCTACCTTACTTCATAGTGAATGCTTTACATAACTATCTCCCAGTAGACTTCTTGAAAGTGAGTACAAACTTCTCAATAAATGCTGACTCAATTAAATACAGTTTTATTCCAGTTTCCAAGAACTTCCTGTGGTCTGACTTCTGACACTCTTTGTCCCTTTGATTCTCCTCTTTAGTTAGGCCCATAGTCTAGATTCACCTGAAAGTCACTTTCTTTCCATCACACAGTTTAACCCTAGGTTTTAGATAGGGCTGAGGAGGCTTCTCCCATGCTGTGACTCTGCTGCCTGATCCCTGTCAGAATCCACTAGGCCCCTGAATTCTAGCTGAAGTTGCACACAAGTTCTCCAAGAAACTACTCCCAAGGGCTTTCTAGCTTTGAGGAAATCCATGCTTACTTTATTTGGATGCTGGGATGACCAATACAGTGCGAGTCCACCAGAGGAATATCTGAACTCTGTAGCTTTCAATTCAAAACCTGTGTTTAACATCCTCCTTGAGCTGGCCTGAAAGAGTTCCCTGCTCCCTCCTGGCCTCCAGGTATATGTTAGCCTCACACCTCCCCTGTGGCTGCTTTTGCTGGATCTTGACCATAAGAAAAAGTTCCATGCTGGCCCCACTCTGTCTAGCATGACACTTCACCACCTGGAACTGATTTTTGCTGAAGATTTAGTACTCTTTTAACTCGTGCATACTGCAGTGTACAACAAAAAATTGAAATCTTCTGGAGTTATAACCATTATAACTTTTTTACTGCTACTACTATTAGGATGCCTAACTTTGAACTAAAGGATAAAGAATTCTTTTAATTTTGAGGTACAGTATATATGCTCTACAAATACTAGACAGATAGTTCAACCGCTTCACATTTGAAGTATTAATAATTAAAGCTTAAATAAAGATAGCAAGACTTGAAGGGTTATTTTTTGCTAGGTAGTGTAGTAAATGTTTTAAATGCATTATCTCTTTTAATTCTCACAACTCTATGATAAACAAGCTGTTACTCATATGTTAGAGATGAAGGAAATCCAAATTCTTCATAACCACCCTGCACTGGCTGTCACCCAGCAAACAATGGGTAGAGCCTGGACAAGCTAAGTGACCTGTATTCAATCTTCACTGGTTTGTCTTGTAACCACAGATCTAAAGAGGTCGTTGGGTCCCTCCTCTGCTTTTGAATAGAATTTCTTGAGCTGGGGATTCTGCCGTTTCTCATAAACTTCTCTAGTGGTAACAAGGAGTGAACAAATGTTAGAAATGTCTTCCTTACATGAAACATAAATCCCATGAAAGAGATAATGAACTATCTCCTTGAAAGCTGGATGTTGAGTGCTTTAAGAAGAGTGCTTTCAAGAACCATGCCAGTTTATGAGCTGGCTGTACTCTCCTCCTGTCTTAAAGAGGCGAAAACCCAGGGCCACAAATATGAAACTCCAGTTAGTCCATATCAGGGCTGTAACTAGTGAGCTGCCTCCCAAACTATTTGTTACAACACTTGTCTCGGAGCAAGGCAAATTAAAATGGAGAAAAGGAACTACCCCTTTGAACAACAGAGCATGACCCTGGAGATTTCTCAGGACCAACAGCAGTCGGAGTGCAGCAAGAGCTCCTATTTCCTCCTAGGGAGAAGCAACGTGGTCTTAACACTTGTAGTGAAAATAATGAATAAATGTAAGGGAGTTCCTACACCAGTTTGCAATAAAGAGTAGTAGTGGCAGTCGTATTTTCCTTGAATGAGAGAAATTTCCACCAAATTCGAAATGAAAGAAATGAGTGCATACACACACAAGTCTCTTTGTGCTATTTCTATGATAGTTTTTTGGCCCAAGTTTCAGGAGCTCTGGCTCTTTCCATTTCCCACTTGATTTTCCAGTAGTGTCTCCGCCGTGATGAAAAGAAGTCTTTCATGGCCAAGACTCTTTTTTTTTTTTAAAGAGACAGGCTGGTCTCGAACTCCTTCATGGTCAAGACTTCTTCCAGCCATTTTCCAAAGACACTTATGTCCAGCATATGGAGAATCTGTGAACTGTGCTTTCTGTTACCAGCCTGTGTCCATGGTTGTATCCCAGAGTCTTCAAGAGAAAGAAAATATCAATTTACTGTGAATTTTTAATTACCCCATAAGACTTCATATTGCATACAGCATTTTTTTTAAAAAAGGCACAGAAAAAAAATGGTACAATCACTTTGGAAAACTATAGAAATTCTTTTTAAAGTTAAATGTACACCTACCATACAACCCAGCCTTTCCACTCCCAGGTATTTACCCAAGTTAAATAAGTCACATGTCCACAAAAACACTTGTACACATGTTTATAGAAGCTGTATTTGTTATAGCCAGAAATGGGAAACATTCCAGTGTTCGCCAGGAAGTGAATAAACAGTGATACATTCATAAAAAGAGATTCTCTTCAGCAATAGAAAAGAACAAGCTGCTGACACATGTATTAATAATAACATGGACCAATTTCAAAAGCATGCTGCTCTAGAGCAGTCGACGTGAAAGAGTATATAATATATGCTTTGTGATTCAATTTATGTGAAATTCTAGAAAAGGCAAAACATCTATGGTGACCGAGAACAGATCAGGGCTTATGGGGTGAGGGGCTCGGGGGAGAGGAAATTGACTACAAAAGGGCACAAGAGAGCGTTTGGGGCATCATGGTAGTTATTCACAGGAGTGAATGCATTTGATGAAACTCATCACTGTACGCTTAAAGTGGTGCTTTTTATATGTTGATTATTTCTCAATAAAGTTGTTCTATGTTAAAAAGGCATGTAATAATGAGTGAGGGTAGTGGCAGTTAGATTTTCCTTGAATGAGAGAAATTTCCCTGTAACTTTGATGCACATAATTATTTCCTCAAACTGCTTCTTTGGGGGTCACTTGACCTCTCTCTCCTGCCTTGCTACACTGATTCTTAGCTCTTCAAGGGGTCCTTTTACTAGGAGTGTCACTGTCACCTCTCTCAATCTGCTGCCTCCCTCCCTGGGGTCAATCCAGGAATTAAGCAGCCTTCTAAGGGAAGAAGTTGGCTTTCATAGAACAAAAACAAGCAATGGCCATTGCGAAGGGACAGCACTGAACTGTATTCTTTTTCATGTATCTCCTGACAGCTGCAATAACGTGCTCTGATAGACTGTGCCCAGCTTGGGTTCTGTGGTCTAGTCCCACACTGGGAAGATCCTGGTTCCCAGTGAGCCTTCCTCATGCACACCACCAAGAGAGCTGGGTGCCGTGCAGAGCACTGGACAGATATTCGGTCGTTTATTCGTCAGGTATTTATATGGCCAAGTATATTATATGATCATCATTTACATATTCATAAAAATGAATATAGTCCTTGTCCTTAAGGAGCTAGAGATTCGAAGTCTGCCAGGGGAGGCAAATGAATAATTTCGGTATAATTTGTGAAACTGTTTTGAGCCCAGATTGCTCTTTTATCCCCAGCACTGACCAAACTGGTGTTGAATAAATGTTTGTTGGATGGATGGATGGATTAAAAAGGAGCAAGCAGAATTTTAATCTCGATTGTGCCTGAACTAAGATGATGCCCTTGGTTTGAAGGGAGAGGCTTCCGAGAGCCCCATTATTAGAGATTCTGTCTACAGATCACATGGCCTTTTCCTTGGGCTCCTCTCCACAAATGTCAGTTTCCTGCAGAGTCACTCATTTCT